ACCTCCAAGTCATCTCTCCAGCCCTTTTTTTTAATTAATTTATTTTTTTATATCATGTGTATTGATGTTTTGCCATGGGTGTCGGGTTCCCTGGAACTGGAGTTACAGACAGTTGTGAGCTGCCACGTGGGTGCTGGGAATTGAACCCGGGTCCTTTGGAAGAGCAGTCAGTGTTCTTAACCACTGAGCCATCTCTCCAGCCCCATATTGTGCTGATTTTATATTTAGTCGTTCACTGGTAACCAGTCAAGCAGGTGGTCCATGCCCCTGCTCCTGACAGTAAAGAACATCTTCATTACAGATGGCAAGATGGACGATAGTTATTGAAACCTGGACAATACAAGCACTGTGGCTAGCATATGCAAACGGTCGTACGTCCCTTAGTTTATCACTGCAAAAGAGGTAATACAGCAACAAGGCCAATCAGAAAACTGCGTAGGACCTGCCACCCAGTAGGGAGGCTGTGTGCAGTTCAGTCGGCTCACATCAGCAGCATGGCACTGTGCAGAATGCTGGTTCCATCTGTATAACTTTAGGCAAATCGATCAATGTCGCACACGCACTTTCCTCGTTGAAAAAGATTAAGCATAGTCAAAAGAAACAACTTATGAGAAGGAATTGATAATACCCAACAGAAGTATTTCATGAAGTCCAGCCAGTGTGTCGTTTTCTTTGTGACTGATGTCACCAGAGAATACATCTGGTATAGCAGGAAAACGGTTCTTTTCCTTAAGTGGCTAGAATAGTCTTCATTTTGTCTTATACTCAGATGCATCAGCTGTTTGTGATTGCAGACATGAAACTGCACACAGGTGACAGACCATTGCTGGCAACCACTACTAAGTTCAGCAAATTGTTTCAGACATAGCAGATCTATCAGCAGCGTCCTCGGGCTTTGTTACATCTCTGCCAATGGCATGGCTTCCAGAGCAGTAGGTTCACATTCAGCATCTTGAGCATGTGCTCAGTTTTCCAGAACGTATTCCCAGCCAAGTTAGTAACTGGTGTAAAACATCTGTCGAATGCTGATGTCTAAGATCAAGCCACTTACAGATTATCCCCACTCCCCACCCCCGGACATAAACTTGAATGTCCCTTTTCATTTTATCAGTTAAATGACAAATTCTGAATGCCACTTTCTGCTTCATTATGGGAAGAAATGGATTTTAGGGACCCTCTCTCTTTCAGAGAATTGCAGTCAAACCCTCAGACACTTCGAGAGTGCTGGGGGTTCCTGTGGGTCATCAGGGCTGAGCAGTCTTGTGCATATCCTCACCAAGAATGCACTATTCAGACCCCTCTTTCAGGCCTGACTTTCAGTTTTTAGTTCACCTCTGGTCTGGGGAGGTGACTTGCAGAATAAGAGTACTTGCTGTGAAAGAATGAGGACCCGAGTTCAAATCCTCAGCATTGGTGTAAAAAGCTGCCTGTGGCCGCCTGTGTGCCTGTAACCCCAGTGGTGGGAGAGGGTATGAAAACAGAAGGGGCATTGGGGCTTACCAAACATGACACCTGATGTCGTCTTCTCTCTGTCTCTGTCTCTGTCTCTGTCTCTGTCTCTGTCTCTGTCTCTCTTTCTCTCTTTCTCTCTCTCTCTCTCTCTCTCTCTCTCTCTCTCTCTCTCACACACACACACACACACACACACGTATGTGCACTCATGCACATGCATTTTATACATACATATATACATACACTATACACAGACATGTATACACATTAATTAAAGATAACAAAGTGAACTTGGTAGACTGTGTGTGTGTGTGTGTGTGTGTGTGTGTGTGTGTGTGTGTGTGTGTGTAACAATAATAATTAAAGAAGAAGAGGTCATAAATTTGAGGACTTGGGGGAGGACACAGCAGGAATAAAATAATGTTACAGCTCCTGTGTTCACGATCACAAAGTGCTCTCAGAGTTGTCTGGAAGGGCTGGGTGTTCTGACCACACCCCACAACACCCCGCACAGCAAACAGACTGCTCCCTTGCTGTGGGTGGTCTAAGTAGGATCCACTGAGATGACATACACACTCATAGAAGCTGTTGATGTTCCAGTCCGTTCCACCCTTGAGAGCATTTTCAGGTCCCTATCTGGCACATTTGTAAACTTCACAGTTATGAACAAACATTGTAATTGCAGATTTGCATTTCTCAGTTATTGTGAAAAAAAAGTTTCTATTTCAAACGAGAGGCATCTTTGAGGAAGGGGTCCTCTCAGACATGATTGGAAGAGTACATGGGCTCGAGCAGTTGGCATGTGCCTATTTAGGATGGACTATTTCCCCCACATCCAGGAACCGAGTCTCTGAATGCTTGCAGAAGTGAATGCAATTAACATTGTACAAGCTGCAGATGAGGTGATGTCACCCGCGGGGCTCTCTGGAAGCTGAGACGCAGCAGCCCTCTAGCAGACTGAGCTGCCCTTAGAGCATGCGTGGATGGACTTCTTTGCTTGGTGGCTTTCTCACTTAACCTGAGAACAGCCAAGGAGCCATGCAAATGAAAATCCTACTAAGTATGAGATATCATTTTATACAGTGTTTTAGGGGAAAATATGTGGGAACAAGACAATGACAAGTTTGTGGTCATGACATCCTTTTCTCCTCATTTTTTAAAAACTGGCTTATTGATACAAATTCATCCATCATAGTTTACCCTTCAACATGTATTCCTGAAGTGTATTTGGTATGTGGATGTGAGTGTTCATATGTCTGTGGGTGCACATATATGTGAGGATGTTTGTGCACATTTGTGCAGAGGCCCAAGGTTGACACAGAGTGTCTTCTTCAATCACTCTCTACCTTATATACAGAAGCATGGCCTATCGCTGAGCCCAGAGCTGGCTGGTTTGGCTAGTATGGCTAACCAGCTTGCTCCAGAATTCCCCGTCTCCACCTCTCCCGTGCCAGGACTATATACAGGCTGCCAAGCCCACCCGGCTTTCTGAGTGAGTGCTGGGGACCTGAACCCTGGTCCTCAGGTGTGTGCAGCAAGTGCTTTACCCAATGAGCAGTCTCTCCAGACCTTACAAGGTTTTCGATATGTTATGTTGTTATTTGTTTTTTAACAAACATATGCCATTAACATTGGTATTTTAATCATTTTAAGGATACAAGTCAGTATCACAAATTATAGTCACAGTATTGTATAATCCTCAGCACCATTTCTAGAACTTTTCATCATCCTAATTAGATATCATTCCTCCTCCAATCCCAGTTAATCTACCACCTCTGTGAATTTATCCATTCTAGGGAGTGCATGTAAGCAGACTATATAACTTAGTATTTTCATCTAGCTTATTATACTTACCAGAATGTTCTCAAGGTTCATCTGTGTTAGAGCACTGAGCTATATTCCATTTAATATATTCCCAATTGATGACCCTCATGTCCCTTGCTAGACACATGGGTTTTTTTTTCCTCTTTCAGCTGTTGTGAATAATCCTGCAATTAGCATTGATACATTCAGCTCTTCAGAGCATAGAATGCAGGGTAGAGTGACTAATTCTTACAGTCATTTTGTGGTTAGCTCTTTAGTTTGTTTATATTTATTTTTAGGTTGGTTGGTTGGTTGGTTGGTTGGTTGGTTGGTTGGTTGGTTGGTTGGTTGGTTGAGATAACATCTCACTGTATAGCCCTGGCTGGCCTGGAACATGCTGGCCTTGAATGAACTCACAGAGATCCTCCTGCCTCTGCCTCCTGAGTGCTGAGATTAAAGGTGTGTATCGCCATGCCCAGTTTGTCTTTAGATTTTTTGAGAAACCATATTGACTTTTACTTTATTCTTTAAATATGAGCTTTATAGCCCAAGTTCACCTCAGATTCACTGTGAAACCCATGCTGACCTGGGCTTCCTTGCCTAGCCACCTGAGTGCTGAGACACACGCATGTGGCACCACACGGGGCTCCATACATGTATGTTTTTGTGTTAAGTGCTGCCTTGGGCACCTTAGATGAATGACTACAGTTGGTTCTCATAATAGCCATGTGAATTCCCGTTCATCCATCACATGACTTATAAGAACCTGCTCTGTGACCGGCACTATTGTAGGCGAAAGATTCCCTAATGAACAGAACTAATAGCCACACCTTCTCTCAGATCTTGCACTAGAGTGCTGAGAGAAGACAGTAAATAAACGTGTAGCTTGGCACAGTGGCCGTTGCCTGTGATCTCAGTGCCTGGGAGGCTGAGGCAGGAGGATTAAATATGACACCAGCCTGAGCAGCATAATGAGACCTGTTTCCAAAGTCTATAGAGATTGCTTCTCTAAAGCATCGATCTGGCATGTGTGAGACCCTAGCTTCAGTCCCTAGCACGCCACCTACATGTACACACACACACACACACACACACACACACACACACACACACACACACAGACATACACCCTACCCCTACCCCTATGTAAACTATCTATTAATATAATGCTAAGCAGAATAAATGGCATTAAAACAGTACGAAGTACGAGAGAGAAAGCAGTTACTGTGCCTTGGAAGGAAGCCATGGACTCGAAAGGTCTCTGAGAAGCTGAATTGAGACCTGAAAGAATCAAAAGAGGAACTCATCAGAGGTCTGGGAGACCATCCTAAGGAGGGGCAAAGATGGCACACGGGCCTGGAGGCAGGTGTAGGTGAGAGGGGGAAGAAATAGCAAGCAGATTGAGAGCTGAGGATGGGGGGAGATGCGGTTGGCTGGTATTATGTTGTCATGGAAAGCAGCTAGAAAGTTTGAGACATAAAAAAGTGATAGAGGGTCCAAAGGGCTTTACCCAAGCCGTTGGTGCTGATTGACAGCTCAAGATCCAGTTGTAAGCAGATTGACTCCAGAATACATTCCCTGCCTCACACACTGTAGTGTGCTTCTGGTCTGTGAGCATCCTGGCTGGTATTGAACACTATCGAACAGTGTTCTGCACAATGGAGTTTCTGTTGCTGGAATCATCAGACTCTTCAGGTCCTGGCACACTGGAGCAGCCTCACGGGTGTCTCCATTTCTTCCTGTAGGCATGATGCACTCTCCTGGCTTTGATGGAGGCAGCAGCCTGAGCTTCCAGATGCTGATGAATGCAGACAGCTTGTACACTGCGGCACACTATGCCCTCCTGCTCAACCTCAAGCTCTCCCACGGCGACTATTACCGGAAGCGGCCAACCCTGGCACCGGGCATGATGGTGAGCATAAGCTCTGGCATGGGCTTCCCCCAGGATGAGCTGCCGCTGTGCAGCGGAGTGTCAGGTCTGGAGGGAGAAACAGGCCAGTGTGTTCTGTGCCCCGTTGCTCTGCAATACCCATGCCTGTGCAGGTCTGAAGGGTGGAGAGGATAGCTGTGAAATTTGCCCAGTGGTCACTCATGGCCTTAATATGAGGATGGGGTTGACTATCCTTTGGTCGGCTCCCTTGGCTGAAGAAGCCACTCCCTTCATGTCAGTTTATGAGTCTAAATCATGGATCAGTAGAATGAAATCACTCATCACTTCTTTCTTGAATAATGTGTTACCTCCCAAGGTTAACTGATGACTGTATGAGAGTGTAGGTCAAGTCTCAGTTGGGTACATACCCTCCTTCCAGAGCTTATTCTATCCCTGCTGCTGTTGGGACAGCAAGAAGAAGAAACTGTGGAAAATGGCCATGCAGGCGATAACAAGAATGTAAAATGCAGCATCCTGGTCCCTCTGCAAGCTGTCGGTCAGATGATGTCACAAATAAGACAACTGTGTGAAGCGGGGGCTTCTGCACCCCAGCTTTTCTCCCTGTCACTCCTACCCGCAATGAAAAGCTCTGGTTTGGTGAGAGTGGGGGCAGTTTGGGAACCTGTTCATTCATGGGGCTGTGTATTTGGTCTCCTTCCCTGGCCTCTCTGCAGAAAGAGTTCATGAAACAGGTGCAGACCAGCGGCGTGCTGATGGTCTTCTCCCAGGCCTGGATTGAGGAGCTGTACCACCAGGTGCTCGACAGAAACATGCTGGGTGAAGCTGGCTACTGGGGCAGCCCTGAGGACAACAGCCTTCCCCTCATCACCATGCTCACTGGTCAGTGGCTCGTGCCAAGGTCATGGGGTGCTCAGGAGTGGGGAAGCTGATGTTCTGGGGCCTTTTAGAAATGTCGTGATGCATGAACAGGCTTTGGGGGACAGTTGCAGGATAGCGCCATGAAAGCGCCTCACAAGCATTTGCTCTCCTTCTGTCGTGGGCACAGAACACCCTCAGCTGTGGAAGTCATGCTGTGGGCCCATTGATGGACTTGTGTTTTCTGGACACGGGCCCAGAGTTATTCCTGGAAGCTCTCACGTGCTAATTGAGACCCCACATCATTCAGTCCTCCTGGGATCTGGCCACTTGGAATACGAAGCAATTGATTTTATACTTGGCCTCATTCCCATTTCCTGTCAGCCTTCCTTTCCCGGCTGTCCCAGAATATAAATGAATGGCAAACATTGGCTTTCCCAGCATCCTTGTCTCCCATGTCAAAAACCTTAATATCCTCTTTAACTACTAGAAATTTCAAGTGAACATGTTGAGAATGGTATGTTTAGTATCTAGGGGTGGGGTGATTTGGGGCAAGAGCAGATATTTATAGTTTTTTCATGGCTTACCAACCATGTTCAAAGCCTTGATATGTTCATCAGAAGCCCTGATACGTTAATCCTTCAAGCCTTTTTGTTTTTTAACTGGTTCTGTGTCCCCAGATTGACTTCTAACCTGAATTGTCCTCTCATGGGACATAGAAGGACATGGTCCTCCACAAGATGTCTTTGTGTCGTGTCTTCTGTCTCTCAAAGCTGTTTACTATAGAGGGTCAGAGCTGGATAAAGCTGGATAGTGTAGCTTGGAGGTTGGGTCTATTGATTAGAAGTACGCCATGGTGTCCATGGATGACACTAAGGCCTTTATAAAGGTGACAAAGTAGACAGCTGGCAGGTGAAAAACAACAATGAGGAATTTGGAGGGGATGTGCTATTTAGTTAGGGACCAGGTAGAGTGGTAGCAATGAGGGCCCTCCCTGGACAGCAGAGTCTGGCACTTTCTTGAATCTGGGATCTTTCTTCTAGAATCAAGATGGAACTGATAAAACCAAATCTAGATCCCACCTCTTGAGGATTGGCATCATGAGACAAGTGACCACCTTGTACTTTATTAATCACGGTTCTATTTGTACCACTTAAAAAATAATCAATCATGGGATCTGGAGAGAAGGCTCAACCATCTCAAGGACCCATGTTTGATCCCTAGCACCTACATAAGCATCTATAACTCTGGCACTGGGGAGGTAGATACAGCGGATCCCTGGCATTTGCTGGCAGCCAGTCTAGCTGAATAGGAGAGCTCTAGTTTCAGTGGGAGATTGTCTCAAAAAATAAAATAAAGAGGAACCGAGGAAGACAGCTGACATCAATTTCTCACCTCTACACATATGTGCATACACACACATAGGCACACATGAACATATACACAGACAAACACACACTAAACAATCATTCCTATTTGTAAGAGACATTCATTTAATTTACTATAAGCAATGCTTGGTTTCCATCTGTTTCCACAAACTCCCTTCATTAGGGTAGAGAGTGTTGCCTGGAGTGTGTAAGCACCTTAGAATTCAGCTGAGAATCTTAAATACCAGGTTTCTGCCAAATGCAATCTCTATGAATCTCTTACCCAAAGTTTAATAAAAAAGAGTCATTCAATAGATGTGAAAGGAATAACAGAGTATCCACAGTAGCTAATTACTGCTAATCAGCTGTAATGTAAGAATAAGCTCAATCGCTCTGTCCATAGGAAAGTTATTTAGTTCTAGGATAATGATAGCAATATGTAGTCTCTTCAAAACAATTCAACAAAAATAAGGTCCTGTGAGGGCTGGAGCAATAGCTCAGCAGTTAAGAGCACTTATTGCTCTTACCAAGGATCCAGGTTCTGTTCCCAGAACCCACATGGCAACTCACAACCATCTTTTCAGTTGCAGGGGATCCAATGCCTTTTTGTGACCTCCAGGGGACCCAGGCATGGCACGCACTTGGTCCATATCTATATATGCAGGCTAAACACTGATAATAAATGAAAATAACCAATAGTCCATGAAACTTTATAGCAAATTTCAGGTGTGAACCAACAGGTGAGGGTGTGGGAACTTTCTGGTCCTCCCATTGTATACCAGGAAAGACATGACCAACAGTCTCACCATCAGCCATCCCTGGTAACAAGCCAAACCATTCATAGAAATGGAAAACTTTATACTTAAATAAATTTCAAGTTGCTGAGTTCATTCATCGTGTACCCAGTACATGGGAGCTATTATAACCTGTATAAAATGATCATTTATGGTAAATGTCATTAGGCCATTGATTGAAAGCCAAATTGATTCCAGAAAACTGGCCTATTTCTATAGTAGCAGCCATATAAATTTCTACCTTTCATGACTGTCTTAGGCTTTTCTATTGCTGTAAAGAGTCACCATGATCAGAGCAACTCTTATAAAGAAAAACATTTAATTGGGGCTGGCTTATAGTTTCAGAGGTTTAGTCCATTATCATCATGGTGAGAAGCATGGCAGCATGCAGGCAGACATGGTGCTGGAGAAGGACCTAAGAATTCTACATCTTGATCCACAGGCAACAGGAAGCAAATTGTCCCACACTGGGCATAGCATGAGTATATAAGACCTCAAAGCCCATTGCCACAGGGACACACTTCCTCCAGCAAGGCCACACCTCCTAATAGTGTCACTCCCCGTGGGGGCCATTTTCGTTTGAAAAAATCACAATGACCTTCTGATGTGTTGCCTAGAAGGCTTCGTGACATTTTGTAAGAATCCCATATAAAATGAAACTTTTTAAAACTATGCATTGACATCATTTCTTACTCATGTAAAGGTGAAGTTCCAAATTGAAAAGAAATTTATCCAATTTCTCCTTTCCCATACACTCCACTGTGTTTCATTTGACTGTATCAATTGTATCAAAATTCATGTGTGGTATCCAATGACCAGCTCCTTTTATAGTGAGGGAATTGGCTCAGTACCTATCTCAGGCCTAAAAGGCCTCTTCATTCAGAGATAAGCAGAAACCCAGATTTTCAACTCCAGACCAGTCCCTTCCTGCCAGAATATGAAGGAGTTTGTGGAACTATTTTTGTAGGTGGGAATTTATTCTTGCAAAAATTTGAAGGAGATAGTTTTAGAGCCCATGTTGAACTGGGGAATGGTGTTGTAGAGAGGCCTAGTGTGCAATCAGAAAACACAAATACTGAATCCAATTCTGTCCTTTGCTAGCCTCATTGACTTTGGAAATCTACCTACTTTACAGTTGGCTCTTAGTCCAAATACCCAGAAATGATACCTTCTCCTGCTCCCAATTCTTAAGTTCCTTACCTGTAAAATGGAAAAACGAACGGCCCTCACTTCCGGGTTTGAGTGGTTGGACACAATCTGATGAAAAATATATTAACTGAAACAGTTTGAAAATTGTAAAGTATTATCATCAGTATATTTCAAATTAGAATGGAAAGTACCTGACCAAAGAGGCTGATTCTACTTAGTTCTAGTGAAACAGCTCTGGAAGAGAAAGACTGACCTGGCATGATTGTATATTCTTTGTAGTCTAGCACTTGCGAAGCTGTACTCTATGCATAGGATTATTGATAAAGCCATGATTTTGAGTAAGACGACAATCCAAAGATGAAAAACAGTGAATACTTTATGACAATGGCAGAGGCAGAGTTTGGCCTTTTTTTCCCCCCACCCCAAACATAAAGCATACAACAGCATGCAAAAGAATGCTTTGACAATGAAAGAAAACAGACTGAGGAAATAAAGCAACATTTATAATGTTCTCAGAAAAGTGGTTCTACAACTCATATAACAGATCCAATGGATTTTTTTCTTACAAAGATAGGAATAGTATGGTGGCCATTGGTTGTTTTTGATTGGCCTGCTCAAAGGGGAGACTTGGGGATGACTTTCCCCTTTGAATTGGCAGATATTGATGGCTTGGAGAGCAGTGCCATCGGTGGCCAGCTGATGGCATCCGCTTCCATGGAGTCGCCTTTCACCCAGAGCAGGAGGATTGATGACTCCACGGTGGCAGGTAAGACCGTCGTCAACCTTGCGTTTAACATAAACACACATGACACGTGTTACCAGAAATCAAACTGTTACATGGCGGCTTAAGTAATTGATGACTTTGTCTTGCGGGGGAAGGTGGCTAATGAAAATTGCCCAGCTGAGGTAGTGACGTGTCTCATTCATTGACCACTGTGTGAAACCTGAGCCAACACACTCGAATACATTATATTTCCTGTTGTAGAATTACATGCAAGTCCAAAATGCCCATCTGAGGCCTGGAGCACCCCAGACCCTTTGTCATTCTTTTCGTCTCTAGAAAGTGACCTGGGTCATCCCCCACCCCACCCCCTCCTCTTACAGGTGTGGCCTTTGCGCGTTATATCTTGGTTGGCTGCTGGAAGAACCTGATTGATACGCTGTCAACCCCCTTGACGGGTCGAATGGCAGGAAGCTCCAAGGGGCTGGCCTTCATCCTAGGAGCTGAGGGCATCAAAGAGCAGAACCAGAAGGAACGGGATGCCATCTGCATGAGCCTCGACGGGCTTCGGAAAGCCGCACGGCTGAGCTGTGCACTAGGTACCTGTGTGTGTGGGTGGTGGTGGTGGGGGGGGTGGGATCCCTGAGCCTTGGCCTGAGGGAAGGTCCCTGCAGAATGCACCGGGAAAGTCATCATGTAGGAAGGGTTCTTCCGGTACGTATCTGCAGAACACACTCAGTTAAGGGGTAGCTGTTTGTCTCTTCTGAAGGGGTCGCTGCTAATTGCGCTTCAGCTCTTGCCCAGATGGCAGCCGCCTCCTGTGTCCAGGAAGAGAAAGAAGAGAGGGAAGCCCAGGAGCCCGGTGATGCCATAGCACAAGGTAACAACAGCCTCAGGCAGGATCTTCCCGGTGCCTTCGTTGCCCTGCGCACACATCCACCTAGACCACTGGAGACCAGTCCCCATTCTATGTGTGATGCCCAGGAGGTGATCGTCACTCGTCAGGAGCCCCACTGGGCCACAGGCTTGAGTCTGTGTAGGGTGAGGGAACCTCCCTAGTGCCGACAGTGTCTCTTTCTCAACAAGAAAGTCATACTGGCTGCTAGTGACAGAGAAAGTACACTTGGCTGCTAGCAAGAGTGCCAGGGGCCCACCTGGCTGAGCTGCCTCCTGGGTCATCACCAGGCTCCTAGTGCACACGGGAGACCCCTCAGCTTACAGTAGGGATGGCAGATTGGCCATTGCTCTGAGGGTGAAAATCAAACAGAATCCATAAAAGGGGGTCCAGAGACACTTCACGCGGGAAAACCTGAGCTTTGCGGACACAGGGAAGGGCCAGTGAAGCTGATGAGCTTCCAGACACAAGGAAAAGAAAATGTCTTTCCTAATGGCTGTGGAAGATACAAGGCAGGCAGCAGGCTGAAGGAAAAAACACAAGCATGATCTAAATGATGCTGATGCCATCCATGGATACGTAAAAGAGCTAGTCACAGAAGTGATTTTTTTTAGCAGAAACAAGCCATTTAGGTCACTGTTCCACAAACGTGAGTAATGTTTAGAAACCTGTTAACAAGCAAAGCAGTTCCTGTAGCTCTGAGGAAAGGGGGAAGAAGGAATCAAAGTTTGCTGAAGTATTGTGTATCTGTCAATCACACAACGATCTTCACATTCAGCCACTGTGATAGTGTACATCTCTGTGCCAGAACTCAAGCGTCTGAGGCGAGAGGATCACAAATTTGAGGCCAGTTTTAGCTACATGGCAAGAACTTATTTCAAAAATATAAATCCCGGGGTCTGGAGAGATGGCTCAGCCGTTAAAAGTGCCGATCACAAGGACAAGAATTCTCAGATCCGAGCACCCCCATTACCAGCCAGGCATAATACAAAGAACTTCAACTTTAGTTCTCAGGGATCCAACACCCTAACTCAGGCCTCTGCACGTGCACAGGTATGCATGCCTGTGTGTGCGTACACTCAGAGACACACATACATACATAAAATTAATCTTTAAATAATTCTTGAGGCTGGAGAGATGAGTCAGCTGTTTAAGGGCACTGGCTGCTTTTCCAGAGGACCGAGGTTATGTTTTCGGCACCCACATGGTGGCTCACACCCACCTGTATGGTTCTGGCATCCCCTTTCAACCTCTGAGGGAGCCAGATACATACCTACAGGCAAAACACCCATACACATAAAATCAGTCTTTGTAAATGTTTAATTCTTACATATACAATTCCTAAAGCACAACATATTTACAAAGCTAAAAATGTTCTTATGATAAGAAAATATGAGGGGCTGGAGAGATGGCTCGGAGGATAAGAGCACTGACTGCTCTTCCAGAGGTCCTGAGTTCAATTCCCAGCAGCCACATGGTGGCTCACAATCATCTGTAATGAGATCTGGTGCCCTCTTCTGGCCTGCAGTCATACATGCTGTATACATAATAAATAAATCTTAAAAAAAAAAAAAAGAAAGAAAATATGAAATAAAATCGGTTTCATGTTAATGAGGCCAATAGTGTTTTCCTCAAAATAACCTCCTCCTTGTAACATGAAAATGGCCCTTGAAGATAGTTTTCTCTGCTCTTTAGTTCTGGACTATCACTTGGTTTATCCCACCAGATCTGGTGACTGGACAGCTTTCTTTAAGGATGGCACTACCACTTGGCCTTCTCATTTAGCATAACTGGCATGCTAAGCCAATGTTTACATCCTTCCTCAGTTATGGCCACTCCGTTATATTTCACGGAAGCATTATTTATAACTCACGGATACAAGTGTGAGCTCGGGGTGAAATGACATCATGATTTTCACTTGAAAAGAAGTCCTGCTTGTGCTCCAGATGCACAGACACGGCTTTTGAGATGATCATCGTAAGAAAGGCATAAAGAATACTAAACACGCTCAGAGAGACTTGCGGACGGCCGAGAATTCCTGGATATTATGAATTCGAGCGCACCCGGGAGGACGAGGGTCTAGCCACAGATATATAGCTGGAGTTGGCACATGAAACCCTCCCACACTGCTGTGTCTCCCCCAGGCCCGTGGGTGTGCTGGGAGGAACGGGGCCTCGCTCAGGATCCCTCTGACGTTAGAGCCACAGAGCAGGGGTCGCCTGTGAATGGGGACTTGTCCACCCAGTAGTTTGCATGTGAACCATGGGCACCTGCTGAATGGCAGCGCTCACAGCCAGCGAAGTGCCTTGCTCCCCTTTGCCCTTGCATGATGACACACCCTTTCATTCCCATCCTGCCCTCCCCCCTGTCCATCTCCCTCGCTCGGCTGCTATTTTCATAAATGTCTCTCTGGCACACAGTGAAGCTGAAGGTGGAGCAGAAACTGGAACAGATGGGGAAGGTGCAGGGGGTGTGGCTGCACACGGCCCACGTCTTGTGCATGGACGCCATCCTCAGCGTAGGCCTGGAGATGGGAAGCCACAACCCGGACTGCTGGCCACACGTGTTCAGGTGCATGATGGGAGTCCCCACCCTTGACGGCACAGACCCTGCCTTGGGAAGCCTGGGGTGGTAGAGAGGGTGTGGACTCCAGGGTCTGCCAGCCTCTCAGTAGAATATGGGCATCCACCGTTCAGACACACTCCAAGTGGGCCACAGGAGGACAGGAGATAAGGACCCGCTGGATGTATGTAAATTTGGAGAACAGGATGGCAGAACTGGATTCAGGGAATTGTGATTTTTCTGTTGGCACTGCTGTGGGAGGCAGATGTATTATTATATTACACCAAGGAAGAAAAAGCTGGGTTCTTAAGTGATGGATGAAAGACAGCCATGCAGTTTAAATGACTGAGTCTAAAATGTGCTCAGGTGCCAATAATCCAACTATTGTGTGTTCATGAATGTCCTCCTATGTGAAAGAAAAAAAAACCTTGGATAACACATATCGTTCTATACAATACCTCATTAAAGACATCTAGTTTAACTAGACATGAAGAAATAAGAACAAAATAGCACATCTCTGCGAAAGACCACTAAAAAGATTGACTCTAAGTCTTGTGGCTCTGAAGTGAAGAGTCTCCCAGTGAGCACCTATAAAATAAAAAGCAAGATGACAACTCCAGACTCCACCTTATAAGTCCAAGATAAGAAGCATGTCTCCCCAGACATCGGCACTAGGGCAAAGGGAAGGCACAGAAGCCCTGCTCAGCTGTGCTCAGCTGGGCCTTCACCAGGCATCACCTGAGGCATCACACCAAAGTGCCTTGTGAGCAGATTGGCCATGGGAGGAGGGCGGTTGGAGGCCAGCAAGATCTGAGTTCAGTCTCTTGTCACCAAAGCTAATGAAGCCACAAGCGCTGGCTGAGTTCCTAAGAGAAGCACGTGCAGATTATTCAAGGGTTGTAAAACCAACCAACTTGAGGAGAGCGTGGACAAGGACCAGGATGAAGCAGCCTGGAGCACATAGGGGTCTGATAGAGAAGTGGGTGCCCAGATAGTCTGCATTGGCCTTACAAGGGGTCAGAGGGGGGAGACTCAGGTGATGCTCAAGCAATGTACATGAGTTCAACAAATCCCAGATCACAGAACACCAGAGTGGTTTACCCAGAATGCCCCTGGACAACAACTAGATTCTCTGGGATGAAGGATGTCTTGGAAAGCATCCCAAATTCAGTTAGTCACAGGCACGGTGGGGCTGGCAGCTGCACGTGTCTATTCCATTGCTGCCATGCCCAGGGATGCCCCCTCAGCCTCAATCCGCACTTGGACGTGAGATATATGGCATTATCAGCTTCAGACACGTCATAGCTGGGTAGAGCTCTGCTGTGTTGAGAGAGCCTGTCCTTCACGGGCATGCTGGGTCTGGGGTCCCATCATAAGGAAGTGCTTCTCGGCTCCTAGTCAGAACATAGTACAGAGAGAAAGAGGGGATTCCTCAGGGGAACTTCTCAAATAAGCAGTCTAGGAAAACAGTAAGCTAGACAACACAGAAGCCGTGAACAGGGTTCCGTTGCCTATCTTTTCCCCAGAAGAGTGATGGGTGAGAGAATCTGAGGAATCCCTCACCCATGCCAAGATTGGTCCAACTCAAAACAAATTTTGTGTCTCTAAGTAGCAACATACATGTGAAGTGAGTCCACTAGAGTCTGTCAAAGGGTATCAATGATTTATTAAGATATAAAATGGGGAGAAATACATTCTTGGATACAGAACAAAGTGAACAGCCGTCATCATCCTCCAATCTGCCTGGGGGTGAATGGAATCAGCTAACTGCTCTCCAAATACTCCAGGAGAGCGAGAGCCCACGACCCCTCCTCAGTTTTAAGCACTCATGTACCCAGAAAAACCATACCTCTATCGGGACGGATACCGCCAGGTCATTGGCCGGGTGAATTCTCACAACACATACATAATAAAGAAACGGCAGTGCCAAATATGGTAAGAGAAACAGAGAAAAACGGGTTCGTTCCAGGGTTAGCTGGATTTCCTTTTCTCTCACCGTGGGATGGATAGAGCAGGCAGTGCTGGGGTACAGCGCTCACTTCCTGTTTGTCTGGCTCTTTCTAGGGTATGTGAGTATGTGGGCACATTGGAGCACACCCACTTCAGCGACGGTACCTCCCAGCCCCCTCTGACCATCCGTCAGCCACAGAAGACATCCGGGAGCTCCGGCCTCCTTGGGGACCTTGAGTGTGAGGACTCATCTCAGGAGCAGACCCTGGAGCAGGGCCCCTCCCTGAGCGCAGCCCCTGTGGTCCAGCCACGCTCCATCCAGGAGCTGGTTCGGGAATGTAGCCGGGGCCGGACCTCAGACTTCCGGGGAGGCAGTCTGAGTGGGAACAGTGCCGCCAAGGTGGTACTCTGCCTTTCCACCCAGGCCGACAGGTATGCAAGGCCAGCTTACCACACAAGGATGCTTAGCTGGGGATTGCCTATTGGCTATGCTGATAGTCATTTGGTCTCAAAATCAGCTGGGAACAACTTGTTGTATTAGCCAGAATCTGAAAAATGCTTTCCTTTGAGTGCGTGCGTGCGTGCGTGCGTGCGTGCGTGTACACGTGTATACGTGTGTACATGTATACATGTGTACATATGTACATATCTATGCACCGTCCACCTTTTTTCTCATTTATTTATTTGCTATGTATTTTGGAGGTAGGGTTTCTTATGGCCTCTGGAGCTTATCAAGTAGGCTAGGAGGTTGACCAGCAGGCCCTAGTTGTGTCTGCCTCCTCCACTCTGGGATTGCTTACAAGTGTGAGCCGCTCCACTCGGCTCTTATGTGGGTTCTAGGGGTTGAACTTGGGTCCTCAGGCTTGCAAAGGCAGCCATTTTGATCAACTGAGCTCTCTCCCAGCCCTCCTTCTGTCTTTGGAAAGCATCATCCTCCCTCCTACCACACACCATCCTTTCAATGAACCGTCCTCAATGCCTGAATTCTGGGTCTGAGGTGGACTGTCTGCAATTAAGTCTCTGGTTGTATTATCATGTCTGGCAACTCCCTGGACCCTGACTTCCTCACTGGTTAAAAAAAAAAAAAGTCCTTTTGAAAAGTGATTCTCATGGGGTAGTTACAGTTACAAGGTTGAATTAAATAATACATTGTACAGCACCTAGAACATGGCTTGGAAAACAGTAAAGATTCAGTGGTGATTTTGGTGATTCTTGATACAAAATCCCATACCATGGGTGGTGGAGATGGCTCCGTGGACAAAGGGTTTATTGCACAAGGGTGAGAACCAGAGTTCAGATCCCCAGGACTCTCATAAAAAGCCAGGTAGGCCTGGTAGCACCCTGGAATCCTAACACTTGGGAGGTAAGGACAGGATCCCTAGGTCAAGTTAGTGACCTAGGCTGGCAGAAATCGGCAAGCCCTGGGTTCAGTAAGAGAACCTGCAGCAACAGATGTAGGGCATGGGAAAGATGAAGGAAGATGCTCATTGTCAACTTCAGGTTTGCACACACGTGTGCACACATGGACCTACACACATGTGAACATGCATGCTCATACACACACACACACACACACACACACACACACACACACACACACAAAGAAAAGAATAAAAACCTTCTCACCCAGAAGCCCATAAGTGTGGTACTTACTGATACCTAAGAGTCACATTATGGTAAAGGAGAATCAATTATTGCCTCAGCTGTTGGGCAACATGTCTTGATGCCGGAAGTGCTTGTGATCCCCAGTCACATGACATCGCCTTATCTGTCCCCTCAGCACATGGTCATTATGCCTAGGCCTCCTATAAAGAGAACAGACAGGAAGTGGCTAGGGCAGCAGGCTGAGTCTATACTGGCTGGGCTCAGAGAGCCCTGACTTCCTGTTCTGATTTGACATTGACCTGCCTGACAATGTCTATAGAAACAGTTACACTGAGACTGACTTCCCACTGACTCATACAGTTCGCACATGCTCTGACTGGTAGAACAATCCCTTGTTCCTATTTGTCCAGTGATTTGGCTACTGAAGTGTTTCAGAATCCGGAAAGTGGCACATGGTTATCAGGGAGAATATAACACTCCTGGAGTCTCTTTACTAGAGGGAAAGAAAAAGAAATGGTTAAGAGACCCAAAAGCAAAATAGAATCCAAATTGGAAACGGAAAATACTTTGTAAATATTTAACTACTGTTTCTGTTGACTCATATTCTTTTACTGGGCATTAAGTTATAATTTCTCTTAAACATTACAGTTTGAATTAGATACTCCTTTAAAAAAATTGTAACCTAAAAACATAAGAGCAATATTTGTATATCCATATGTTATTTGTCTCTGTTCATTATCATAAAATGGGAATGGTACTAATATATGCCTCACCATAGGCCAAGTCATCTGTACAACCTTACAAGATGTTCTTATGCATAGCCAGGTATGGGGTGCACACCTGAAACCCCACCATTGAGGAAGCTGAACCAGGAGGGTCATGTGTTCCAGGCCAGTCTTGGAAGCACAGGGAGTCCCACAAACTACATCAGCATTGTGACTGTGACTGCATTTCCAAAGCAGAAGAGTGTGTCCACTGCTTGAATCCAAAACTATTCCCTTTTGTAATACGCATGTAGGATGTCTGTTATCTTGGTATTTCTGTTAATAACCATATGCATTTAGTTCAGAAAATAATAACTGAAAGCATTTAAAAGAAGACTTCGGTTATTGCTGAAATTATGAGGCTAGTGTACACAGTGTAATAAATGTATTCTCAGAAGGTTTGGAGCACTTAGACTTACCAAACTATGTGTATCTTTGTGGTGAGTGCGTGCATGTGTGTGTTTGGTGTGTGTGTATACGTGTGTATGCTTGTGTGCTGTGTGTGTGTTGGTATATGTGTGTGCTGTGTGTGAGTGTGTGTCCCCTATGTGTTTGCTTGAGTACTGGTGTGTGATGCATGTGTGCCCTATGTGTTTACTGTGTGTACTATGTGTGTGTGCAGGTGTGTGTTGTGGGTGTGCTGTGTGTGTGCTTTGTTTTTCTTTAGACATCTCCTGCCAATATAAGAAAGACCTCAGTGTATAAACATAATTATCATTGAAGTACAGAAAAAAAGATTTTGCTGACATATTAATAGGATGTCTTGGATGAACAGTCAAAGAGTTATTATTTTATTAAATTAGATATCTATTAATACTGGCTACAAAAATAAATTTTAATAAGGTATTTCAAAGTTAGAACATGTCTAATAGAACTCTATGGTTTTAAAAGCTTATTGAATTTTTTAATTCATTTGTGCAAAACATAGTGATAAAATTTTTTGTGTGTGAGTGTGCCTCTGTGTGTGTGGGGGGGTGTCTGGTGTTCTGTCTTTCTGTCTGTCTCACTTTCTGTGTGGGAGTGGTCAGTTTACTCAAAGGAAATTCTCTAAGAAATTCTCTAGTCATCCTCATGAGACGATTAAAGATGGTCCCTATGTTTTTTGTTTTTTGGTTTTTTTGGTTTTGTTTGTTTGTTTGTTTGTTTTTTGGTTTTTCGAGACAGGGTTTCTCTGTGTAGCTTTGCGCCTTTCCTGGAACTCACTTGGTAGCCCAGGCTGGCCTCAAACTCACTGAGATCTGCCTAGGTTTCTTAAAGCTGAGACAAGTATATGTATCCAAGCTGACTAAGTTCTGAGTCACACACACCCCCACCCCCACCACCCCCACCCCCACCCCCACCCCACCCCCAGCCTAAGATCTTCATTTGCTGAGAGTCCACTTCCATGCTCAGAATGCATCCTTACCTCCCAGAGGCTCCACTGAATAGGCCATGATAGCGAAATGATAATAAAAACTGACATTAACTAGCAGTAAGGGTACCAGGCACTTTCCTGGACACTGCACACAGACCAGACAACCCACCAGACAGCCCAACCAACCATGAGAGTTACTAACTTTCTTAGAGGAGGAAGTTAACTAGTTAACTCATTCCACTTTAAGACGATGGAGCCAGCAAATGCTTCTGAGTCTGTTTCATCCCAAAGACTCGTGCTACTTAAGACAGAATCACAGGGCAGAGTGAAGGCACATTTTTTTTTTTTTTTGGAGATAGAATCTCAGGTATCTTAGGCTGATCCCAGATTTGCTATGTAGCTGAGGATGGCCTTGAACTTCTCTCTAGCCTCCACCTCCTAAGTGAAGGTGATTATAGACTTGTGACACCACACTCAGTTTATGTGGTGCTGATGATGGGGCCCCAGGCTTCAGGCATGCTCTGTGGGCCCTCTACAAACTGAGCAGCATCCTCAGCTACTAAAACTGCGGAATTCATTTTTGATCTTTTAATGGGCAGATTATGTTTTGCCCACGTTTGCCTGTGTACACATGGGGAACAGAAGAGTGCACTGGATCCCCTGGAACTGGAGTTACCGTTGGCTATGAGCAGCCATGTGCTGGGCGTTGAGCTTGGGTCTTCTGAAAAATCAGCCAGTGCTCTTAACTGCTGGGCCATCTCTTCAGCCCTAAAATGACAGAATCTTAATTAAGCATGACACTCAGATGACAAGGGATGACATTTTGATTAAAAAAAATTCAATACTCATTACATATGAAATTATTTCATGCACTAATATTATCAGAAAGCTTGCTTAACATCTTCAAAGACCCACAGCGGTCCTCTTGTCAAGAATTAACTCGTGGATTTGATTTGTACTTATCTGCAGACTGATGCTGAGTTTTGTTTCCTGAGAGCTGCTCAGTCATTGGTGTATCTTATTTGAAGGAATATCTTTTCAAGTCCTTTGCTCGTTTCAAATTAGGTCTTTGACTTTTGATGTTAAATTTCAAGTTTGCTTCATTTTTTTCTCAACACTGGATTTATAAAATATGTAGTATCTTTTAATGCCTCATTTTTTGTTATTTCTGTCTTAAAATTTAGTATGTCGCATGTTAGTCCTTCAGAAAGACTCAGGATTCAATTTCTGTTCAAAACAATGACCCTTGAGCAGCACACGGCATCCCATACCACTGCAATCACTGTAGGCTTGGCAGGTAGACCATAGATGGATGCCTCACTGCTCTTGGGCTATAGGAATCTAATGTCTGATCTTTACATCTCACCCTCCATCCCAGAGCCCTGGAATCTCTGAAAGCAATACTTTGTCATCGTTCACATTCTTGCCAAACACTTTAGGAGTGCTTACCACCACTGGCTAGCCTGGGAAGCCGCCAAGATTATTTTTTTCAAGTCTGTTTTGTGGTATTCTTTACATCAAAATCTCATGGTTGGTGCAGACTTGTGCACATTAATAATAGCTATGATCATACCATCCATGTGTCTGCAGTGTTCACACAGCGCTTTTCATAATTACATCAGCTGAATTGCCGTAATTATTCCGCCGAACACCCTTGATGAATTGTTCCCGCATAATGCGTGTGTTTGCTTGCACCCAGGCTCTTTGACGATGCTACAGACAAGTTGAACCTGTCGGCCTTGGGAGGGTTCCTCTACCAGCTAAAGAAAGCGTCTCAGTCCCAACTCTTCCACTCCGTGACAGACACCGTCGATTACTCTCTGGCAATGCCAGGTAATTTTCCCTGAAGACACTGTTGGTAAATAGCCCCATCATTGATACCAGCAACATGTGTAACAGACAACAGTTGCAGTCATAATAATTACAGTTAAAAACTCATCCATGTGTGCAGGGCCCCGTGGTAAGCACTGGATGTGGGCCATCACGTTTATATAATAATCAAAGAAACTTTAAGAAGTAGATAGATTTACCCCTTGTTTTATACATGAGATTAATGGGGAAAAGAGGGAAATCCTTGGCCCATTCCAATGCAGCTACTAAATGGGTCTAACTCCTCAGCCTTACTGTTTACACCAAAGCTTCATGCCTTCTTCTCTGTGGACACAGTGTTGAATCAGGGAGAGGTTTGGGTCCTGCTGAGTGAACCACCTTGCTGATTCTGAATGGAAGGCTCTCTCCTTCCTTGATGAGCCGTCTGAAGCCATCTTGCTACCCAAGAACACTGCCTTGATTTTCAACTTCTCTGTGCTGGAGTCCTTTGAACTATACCTGAGTTTGGGCTTTCTCATCTCCCCTTCCCGTAGGAGAAGTTAAGTCCACCCAGGATCGCAAGAGCGCTCTGCATCTCTTCCGCCTGGGGGATGCCATGCTGAGGATCGTGAGGAGCAAGACACGGCCCCTGCTCCACGTGGTGCGCTGCTGGAGCCTTGTGGCACCACACCTGGTGGAGGTGAGATTGGAAGATGGGAGGAGCCTGTAAATGGAGGCTCAGGGAAGTCCTGCTCCAGAGCCAGCATAGGGGCTGTATTTGGAGGGCCACGGGTTAATGAGAACTTTCCATAGCCTGCTCATAAGCACCATTGTTCTCTGATTAAATATCAAGGATTCTGAAGGCTCACCCAGTGCCTCCCTGGTCTCTCTTTCCAAGTATATGGCTCAACTAGCTTCCATTCAAAGCTGGTTCTTGGTTTTTGTGTTCTGCTCTTAACTTGAGTCTGGAGCTAAAAGACAGAGCCCCGAATCAATTCTTTCCTTTGGTGCAATGTCTTTGCTTCTTGTCTCTCTTCTCTGATAACTCAGTTACAAGGGACATGTTATTTCAGGAGGGGGAACCATATATCCTGGTTTTCCTGACAAAATGAACATTAATACCTTCCCACTTCCCAAAGGAAAGCGGTTTATAGGATCAGTTTTGCAGTAGCTCTGTGTCGAATCCTCTCAGTACATGAAGACTGGCTCTGTTAGTTACCTTTCTGTTACTGTGGTAAAACACTGTGACCAAGACAAGTTAGAGAGATCAGGGTTTAGGCTTATAGTTCCAGAAGAAAAGCCCATAGCAGCAGGGAGGCAGAGCCAAGAAGCTGAGAGATCACGTCTTCAAAAGTGAACACAGAGCAGAGTGAGCAAACCGGAGGTAGGGTGAGGCTACGAAACCTCAAAACCTACCAACGGTGTCGCTTCCTCCAGCAAGACATCACCACCTCCTCAGTGTGCCAGCCAGGGACCAAGTGCTCACATAGATACCGGAGCCGGTGGGGGTCATTTCCCATTCTCACCACCCCACTGGCTAAGTAACAGGGAACATTATTGCCTTATTTACAGTGGTAACTATTCATAAACACCCTGTTGTACTTACTTAGTAAAGATAGACAAGAAAATATTTCATGGAATTTAATTTACTAACCAGAGGCTAGACTAGTGAGGAAGAAAGGTAGAAAGTATCAATTTAGTTAAGGCCAAAGATCCCATCAGCTAGATACTATGTTATAATTGGCTACAGGGAAAGCCTGGGAGCGTCAAACAGTGACCATTCATTTCATTCATTGATCCTCTGTAGCAGAAATTTGAAGAAAATGCTCTGGTAATTCTGGTCTGGACTAGTGCACTGGCTCATTTTATTCCAGCTTGACCAAGCTAGAGTCATTTGGGAACAAGAAGTCTCAATTAAGAAAAGGTCCCTATCAAACTCCACATCACACTTTGTTACTTACAGGGTGGTTTCTGCTTTGCCAGTAGCCAAAGCAAGTCCCAGGTCCAAGTTGAGAGCCAATGCAGAACAGAATCAATAAAGGCCATGAGACCCAGGCTGTGTGAACCAATTCAAGTTCTCATTGCAATTGATCCACTCACTAGGGGACAAATGACTCCCTTGATCTTAATATATTAGGGGGATGACTAAGGAGGAGCCATGAGCAGTTCCATAGGTTGCGGTGAACATGCTCTGTACTGCTGAAGAAAAAGAAAATAATGGAAGCCTTACTCTTCCAGAAACCTTAACTTGATGTTGGAGTTGTATCTACCCAGGCGATTAAATTTCCAGATGCAATTTGGTACACTCATCATCTATACATTAAAATTCCTTAGAACAGAATTGCTCTTCCTACCTTTACATAATGGGGTGGCCTTCAGAAGCCACACTTTCCTTGCCTGACTTCCGCTCGCTCTTGGTCTTGTGCAGGCCGCCTGCCATAAAGAGCGCCACGTGTCTCAGAAGGCCGTTTCCTTCATCCATGACATCCTGACCGAGGTTCTCACGGACTGGAGTGAGCCGCCTCACTTTCACTTTAACGAAGCGCTCTTCCGGCCCTTCGAGCGGATCATGCAGCTGGAGCTGTGTGATGAAGATGTCCAAGACCAGGTGAGTGTGACGAGGGTGGCGGCGGCATCCTCCTCCTCTCCAGTGCTGGTGTTTGGGGAGGGAGAAACAGGCACTGTCCTCTGGTTCGCACGCTGTCTGCCCAAGCAGGTGACAAAGAGAGGTCCAACAGTTTGGCCAGGATCACCAGTGACCGGTGAAACTGAAACAGACCTAGAAAATCTGGCTGGATTGATTTATAGCTTCTCTAGACCACTCTACTGACCGCAGTCATCCTGTCGAATAGTACATAAATGGAAAGAAGCGAACCCAGTGACCTCACCTGTGACGCAATGGTGAGCCCAGAACTCAGCAGGCTCTTTCCTGAAATCGACTCAGATGTTGAACAAAGCGTCTTCGTTTCCTTTTAAATGCATTGACATATTGGCAAGAAAATGAAACCTACTAAAATGCCCCCACAGTGACAGCCAGAGAGGGGTGGACACACACAGCCCCCGGGGTGGTTCTGCTAGAGTGGGTTGTACCATCAAGTGAAGCCATAGTTCGTCACACGACATTCTCAAGGTTGCAGGAGCCAATGACATCGCTGGGCTTCACTTAGGCTAAGCTTAAACATAAAAATAAATAACATTAGAAAAAGAGAGGAAAGGAGGTTATAGAGAAGCAAAATTCTTCTTCCCCCCCAAAAAAATACAGTTAGTGTTAACTAGAAGTATAATGTAATAAATTGAAGGTACAAATTATAATCCCCTCATCGAAAATGGAGAAAGTAACACATACGTGAAGAGAAGTTTTAGAAACAGAGATGTTAAAAGACATGTGCCTAACATAAAAGAATGTGGTAAAAGAAGAATGGATGAACAAAGGGCCCTGTGAGTGTGGGAAACAGAGCGAAATGCTGATGTAAGTAGATCCACACGCATGGTCGAATCAAGTGGGATGCTCAGCATCATTAGGAAATGCAAATTGAATCCATGATGGGTACCGCTTCACTTGCCGGGGCAGCTGAAAGCACAGAGAAGATAATAACCACAGGTGAGACGTAGAGGAAATGAACATCAGACGCTGGATTAAGAAAGAAAATACTTTACTTGGTTCAGGACACAGCCTGGCAGTCGCTCAAGGGAAATGAAAAAGCATCCATGGGAGTCTTCACAGATATTTGTAGCAACAGCCACATCATCGGATGGAGTGAAAAGCCAGCTGTGGTGGTCTGTGCCTACAACTCCAGGAGGCAGGAGGATTGTGAGAGTAAAACCAGCGTGGGCTTCATAGACAGTGCTTAGGCAGTCTGGGCTGCTCTCTTGGAGTGGGGAGGAAGAGGAAGGGGCTGAGATAAGAAGGCAGTGAAGAGCTAGAGCTATGCAGATTCTAACTCTGACAGAGTTTGTGCAATTGTATACGTGTCAGGTCAAAACCAAAAGAGAAACAGGGAGTGTTACTATTACTAGAAAGTGGTATTTTTGTTTGTTTTTGTTTTTCGAGACAGGGTTTCTCTGTGTAGCTTTGCGCCTTTCCTGGAACTCACTTTGGAGACCAGGCTGGCCTCAAACTCACAGAGATCCACCTGCCTCTGCCTCCCGAGTGCTGGGATTAAAGGCATGTGCCACTGCCACCCAGCAGAAAGTGGTATTTTATAATTAAAACTAAGTCAGTATATTAGAAAGACAAAAACAGGGAGGGGCACTGTGGAGGTAGTTCAATCAGCCCTGTACTGGCTGTCTAAGCTTGGGGACCTGATTGGAGTCCAGCCCCTGTGCAGAAAGCAGGCCTGTGATGCACACTGTCATTCCAGCACTGGTGAAGTGGAGAACTCCCAGGGCTCGATGGCCAACTAGTCTGGTCAAACCAGCGAGTTCCAGATTCAGTGAGAGACTCTGTCTCAAAACACTAGGTGGAGAGCAACTTCTGGTCTTCACACAGGGCCACTTACAAATACACAACCCCCTCCCCTACCCATGCAACCTTGGAAATGCATGAAGACATGAACAGTGAAATGGAGATGCAATCTAAGGCTCACAGCAGAGAGGAAAGTTATTGTTTCATGGGCACAGAATTTCATTTTTGAAAAAGGGAATTTTTGTGGGGATAGACGGGGTGGACCCTACGTTAAACTGTATGAGCTATATGCAATTGGAAATGTGGTAAATGTACACTGTCTACATTGTCCTGTGGTTTAAAATGAATTATAATGAGATATGGCAACCCCTCCCTTGAAATGATTGATAGAACAGCCAGACAGCAACTCAGGTAGAGATAATGAGCACCACAGTGGGCCAGGCTGAGTGACAGATGTACATTCTCTTCAAGTGTGGGTGGAGCTTCCTTCCGAAGAGTTGATATGCAAACCTATAAAAAAAAGTCCCAGGAAGTTTAGTCTAATTTAAATCACATGAAGTGTATTTTCTGGCCATAATGAAATTGGGTTCATAATAAATGATTAACTTGGGAAATGTTCAGATATGTATAAATCAAACATCAAAATTCTAAGTGATCCTTAAGTCAGTGAAGAAATGACAGGAATGTTTAAAAAAATGTCTTGAGTGAAAACATGACATACTGAATTTGTAGGATATAGCTAAATCAGTATTTATAGGGAACTTACAGTTGCAAATGTTCATATTAGAAGAGAAGAACTCTAAAGAAAGAAGTGCATATGTGTTTGGCCAATTGACTTGTGATGAAGATGCCATTGTAATTCAACAGAGGAAGAAGACTGTTTTCAGCCAGTTTTACTTGGACATTTGTAAGAAAGATGAGCTTCAACCCTCACCTCTCACTACACACACACACACACACACACACACACACACACACACACACACACACACACACAACACCCTGAAAATTGGTCATGACTTAACACCAGCAAGAGCAGTAATTATAAACATGAGTGAGACTAAAGTTTTTTGGAACATGAGACAAGGGTCAGCAACATGACCTTTAAAAAGAAAAATTGATGAATCAGACCTCATCAAAATTAAACACTTGTATCCCCTGAAAGATAAAATTAAGATATAATAATAAAAAGACAAACTCAGGGCTGGAGAATTGACTCAGTGGTTAAAAGCACTGTCTGCTCTTCCAGAGGACCCAGGTTCAATTCCCAGCACCCACATGATGTATCACAACTGTCCATAACTCCAGTTCCATGGGATACAAAATCTCTGCTGACTCCTTTATGGACACTAGGCATGCATATGGTGTACACACCAACATATATAACACAAATACAAATAATGCAAAACACTAGAACATATAAAATCTTTAAAAAGAAAAAAAAGATAAGCTCAAAGTTGTAAGAGTTATTTGAAAATCGTGAACTGCGAAGGACCTGAATCTACAAAGCATGGCAATGAGGAGGCAGACACCCAATACAGAAAACAGCACACTAACGGGAGGCTAATCTTGTGGAAATTTACTCAGTGACATTAGTTACTAGGGAAACAAGTGAGTGCTGGCTCAATTGTGTCTTTCTCTTTCACTCAAATTAACTCAGAAATGGGGGGCGGGGAACACCACCTTTCCTACAAGTTCTACTTGTGTTAATTAATCTCCTCCCCTTCACCTGTGCAGGTGGTCACCTCCATCGGGGAGCTGGTTGAGGTGTGCTCCACGCAGATCCAGTCAGGCTGGAGACCCCTGTTCAGTGCTCTGGAGACAGTGCACAGTGGGAACAAGTCGGAGGTGAAGGAGTACCTGGTTGGGGACTACTCCATGGGTAAGAACAGTTGGGTGATTCTTGCTCTGGTACCTTCATTCTTTATGCCAGGTCTCAGGTTATCAAAAGAAGAGAAGGAAAGCCATTCCACCAGTCATGTTTTGTTGGCAGGAAGTAGCATGCAGCTTGGACTTAGGGTTGGATGGGCACCAGCTGGCCCAGAGCTCTGAGCTCATCAGGTCCTGCTGCTCGAGCCGAGGGGTCTGTTGGTCCACTCTGAATTGCTATGTAGAGTTACTTCCTGAGACCACAGGGGGAAATGTCACAACTTGAACATCTGAAAATCTGAAATGCCCCCCAAATCCAAAATAAATTGGATTTCAGAGTCTCAGTCAATTCTAGCAAGTATTTTAAACTCTGAAAAACTCCAAATTCTTAAACACATCTGGTCCCCAGCATTTAGGAGAAAGTATACTAAGCCTGTATCTATTTCAAGTAAGAAAACAGAAAAGTATAATCCGGGAGAATCATAATTAGGCAGTTTGGATCTAGCTAGAAATAGATTGGCATGCCAAGAGTCCAGGGGTATTGTGTCAGTGATCCCCAAGGCCACCCTGACATTCAGAAACTTGGCAGAAGGACTCATGGGACAGAGCATACAGCTGAGATAAGATTTATTACGTGGCTTGGTTTATTCCATGGCTCATGACTAAGTTTCACTATGTTAGTATAGTAAGTACACAGCCAGTTTGTAAGGTAAAAAAACAGAGAATCTGGAAGGGTCCTATAGGTCCCCTTGCATTCTGGCCTTCCCATGGAACACAGAGAACTCTTCCCTTAGCAGTGGAAGTATCAACAACATAAAGCCAATCAAAGACTAAGCTGGAAACTGTTCCCATAGACACATTGTGCCTGGCATATACCAAATCCCACATGTTCAGTATAAACCAAAGTTTTTGACAGTCTAGGATAGTAAAGCATCTTATGAGATAACTTGCCCAGGAATAGTCTGAGAATCAAATTCCTGGATGTCAGTCAAGAGCTACCTGATTGACAATCTTGCAAGCATGATTTTCCAAGGCAAGCAGGCTCAGGCCTCTGTGACTCCTGCACAGGAATGGATGAATAAATGTATTTTACCAGAGGCTTGTCTAAATAGTCCTTGTCTGTAGGTATTCTACCGTCTTCTGTGATGCAACATTCCAGATGCCCCGTGTTTACTATTTAGACCCACACATTGCTCCAGGCCTATGTTCCTCCAGCCCTACCCTCCATTATCCATCCACCCAGCCTTCTTCCCAGCCTTCCTGTAGCTCCCATTTAGGTGAAGCAGCAAGATGTGCTTGCTATTCGGTCAAAAGGTCCAGACATTTCTCCAGTGGATCTTTTCTAAGACTACCTATGAGGTGCTGGAAGTGTAAGCACCATGAAGGGTTAAAACCTCCCTTTGTTACGATTCTATCCCCTTCCTCCCCACTCAGGAAAAGGCCAGGCACCCGTGTTTGATGTGTTCGAAGCCTTCCTCAACACCGACAACATCCAGGTCTTTGCGAACGCAGCCACTAGTTACATCATGTGCCTTATGAAGTTTGTCAAAGGGCTGGGTAAGTGGAACCCACTTTTAATGACACTCGCTGTCACTGTAGACCCTTTCAACGTGGCTTTCTGGGGACATCCCTGGAGACGGTGCTAGAACAAGCATGCATCCTGGGATGTGAGCACGTGGGTTCAGAGGCTTACTGAACTCGGGGTTGTCTGAAGTTGATTTTTTTCACTGTGTCTATAAAATATCTTGTGATACAATCCATTCTCAAACTATACACTTCTTAGGCTATTCCATATAGTCTTCAGTAATTAACCTTTCCCTTCGGTATCACAATTAGCAGTTGAAAAGTAAGCTTAAGAATGCCATCTCGCCAGGCAGTGGTGGTGCACGCCTTTAATCCCAGCACTCAGGAGGCAGAGGCAGGCGGATCTCTGTGAGTTTGAGGCCAGCCTGGTCTACAGAGCTAGATCCAGGAAAGGTGCAAAGCTACACAGAGAAACCCTGTCTGGAAAAAAGAAAAAGAAAAAACAAACAAACAAACAAACAAACAAGAATGCCATCTCTAGTCTTCGTAACTGTGATGTGTGCTTTGTATGAGTCAACAGCCCCCTTCTTGAAAGTCCTGATGTATTTTAGGGACCATCTAAGTGGTTATATGCCTAAGTTAGTAACATTTAATAGTGTGAAGTCTTGTACACAGCATGACCTGCTGGAGCTGGGTTTTGCAGAGCACAGATTCATGGGGGTGAGATGGAGAGAATGGGTCAGGAGTTAAACTACAAGTTTAGGAGACATTTATACTCCTGAGAGATTTACACAGAGAGCTCCTGGACGTGGAGTCTGAGAAGCTTAGAAATAAAGCAAATAGAAAGTTGATGTTTTATATCTTCTCAATAGACAATTGATACCTTGATCATTCCTTTATAAAAGAAACTGGACACAAGAAGGTGTTACCTTATGTCACCCTTATTCTTGGAGTAAGAACAAAATGAAAGTGCAGGATTTACCTGCAATTAGTCTGAACTGTAGGCAAGCCTTATCCTGTTCTGTTACATACAGTTGCCCTCCACAAGGATACATTCTAAGACCACCAGTAGGTTCCTAAAACCACTCATAGTACCAAGGCTGTGAATTCTCTATTTTTACTATATATACATGGTAAAACTTACCAATAACTAATTTATGAAGTAGGGATTATATTAGACTAACAAAACCTAATGATAAAGGCTGGAGAGATGGCTCAGCGGTTAAAGAGTACTGGTTGCTCTTCTGGAGGACCTGGGTTCAAATCCGAGCATCCACGTGGCAGTTCATAGCCATCTGAAACTCCAGTTCAGGGGCTATAATGCCCTCTTCTGGCTTCCTTGAGCACCAGGCATGCAAGAGGTGTGCAGGCATGCATTACAGGCAGAACACTCACACACATAAAAATAAAAATAAATAGTAAAACTTTTTTAAATGGTTACAATACATGGATATCATATCTGGCAGTCTGGGAACCCAAGTGGCTACAAAGTAACACTAGGTAGGTACTGTATCCAGCCTGGATGCAGAACACCATCCAGATGGAATGGAGCAGGAGTGACATTCCATCTTGTTGCTGACAAAAAACATATCGTTTAAAACTTAGGAATGTCTTATTTCTGAAATTTTCCACTCGTGTTTTTATGTTGTGTGGGCACACATGCTTAGACCACAGCAAAGAAGAAAAATTAAAGAATTTTCCTTGGACAGTTAGGCACACCGAGTGTCTGTGAAATACTCAGGTAAAGGTGCCTAACAGCATGCTAGAAATTTGAGACTTTATCTTAGAGAAAAAAAGTTAGGGACTGAATGTAGAGATGCCAGATTATTAATATGTACATGAAGCTATTTTGAAAAGGGGGGTTCTCTTTTTTGTGTGATCTGTGAAGTAGAGGGTCAAGGTGTAAGGTTTGGGGTTCCATGGGAAAGACAGGACACCCCATACAACTAAGCTTCCTGTGTACCACTGGGTTCCAGAAGGCCAATATATACTTGGGTATACAACATAAAAAAAGGTAACACCTGCTATAATTGAGAGGATAGGAAAGGATGCTGTTGTTCGTTTCCAGCTGCTTTATACAGTAAAAATTCTCCCTGGCCTCTGTTCTCAGTTATAAGGTGTATGAATGTAAACCAGGAGCTGGCAAACTTACAATACAAATCTCACTCACTGACAGATTTTTTTTAAAAAAACCATTTCATTCGACCTTTGTGCTACAGCAACAGACATGAAGTTTTAGATGACCTACAGAGCCTTAAGTACTTGCTCTCCGGCCCCTCACAAAAAGTTTGCCAACCCTAATCCAGAATGTGACTTCCTTTATTTCTTTTATGTAGAAGCATGCCTCATTGCTTCTGAATTTTAACTAATGCCTAGTAATTATGTCTGTTTACCCATAGGGAAGGGTGCTTGCTGTTACAATTGCAGACAATTAGCTATAATTACAGAGCTGTGGAATAATTTTATTAGAAGTATAGAAATAGAGTCATGGCACTGAGAATAAAAATTATCATTCTCCCTTATTTACCTATAGAAAATCGTTTCCAGAGATGGGCTAAATCTCTGCAACTATATGAAAAAAAAAACAAAAAAAAAACGAATTCAATTCCAATTAAGTTGCCAGTGTCTGCAACCCCCATATGTTTACTCTTTCTGGGCTTTTCATCTGCTATCATCCTTCAGTACCTCATGCTGGCAGCAGATAAAATCCAAAGAGGGAGGCTAAGAGCCTCATTTCACCCTTGCAAGGCCTGCCTCTGGGACTGCTCTCTGTCACCAGAGCCTCAGAAGTCACATCATCCAGCAGAGAAGTGAATTAATGCACTGGCGCTCAGAAATATTCTCTCAGCCACCACAAGTACTGGACCAGAACGGACGAAATGTTCCTCATAGGGAGAAAATTCAGGGAGAGGAATCTTGTCAGGGTTATATGAGTTGCTGTAATTGTTCCCTTTCTTCCCCTTTTATGTATATTTACTTGGGTAAGATGTGAGTGAGCAGGTGTTCTGTTATGACTGGAGAACATGGATAACTTTGTCTCTGTCCCCACACTGCCCTAGGGGAGGTAGACTGTAAAGAGATTGGAGACTGTGTCCCAGGAGTGGGAGCCACATCCACAGACCTGTGCCTGCCTGCTTTGGATTACCTCAGACGTTGTTCTCAGGTACTGGGGAGGCCCAAACACAGCTCCAAGTCCTACGTCTGCCTCAGAGCGTATTCATAAAACATCAGCAAATGTCTTTAGCTGAGGCCTGCGAGAGAGACTTTTGTTTCCTCCACCTTGACCTCAGACCTCTCCATCTCCCAGATTTCTCATGCTTTTCTGCTTCCCGGGAGGTTGGGTCATGGGAAGGGGAAAGCCAGAGTCTGGTGCCCACTTACCTATGGACTCTTCTCTGGGGTCCCCCACAGACAAAAATACTTGACATGTTCACAGTGATCTTAGTGAGTTTATAAAAATGTATAAAATTCATATGTTGAAAAATCAGCCACTGTTTTGCTGCCAGTGAGTGTTACTGCATCTGCCCCTTAATAGAACTGCTCATGTCAACTTGTGAATGCAAGTCACATGAACTTTTATTCTTTTGGAATCCTAGTTGAGTCCCCATTACTAGTGATTCATAATCTTGCTGTTCTCTAACCCTGAGAATTCCACAATATATAAGTGCACTGTCTGGTGTGGTCTTCTTATTTAGTTATTGGCCAAGATCTACAAGATGCCCTTAAAGCCAATATTCCTAAGCGGGCGACTTGCCAGCTTGCCACGAAGGCTTCAGGAGCAGTCGGCGAGCAGTGAGGATGGAATTGAATCAGTCCTGTCGGATTTTGATGACGACACCGGTAAGTTCATTGATTTGGCTAGGATGATCTGTTGTGTTCTTAACCCCAGAATCTTAGGCAATAAATGAAGCTAGTTCACAGATCATGAGTGGTCATCCATGTTTATGGTTTGTTGTGTTTTTTTTTAATAATTTTTATCAGGGTAAGTTTAGCCCGAGTTTCCAAGGACTCCCTAAAGTCAGCACTAACCCATTCTTCTCACATGGCCGCCTCTGTGCAAAACCAGCACAGCTATGCAGAGCCCACCAAATAAGTTTCAAACTCTTGAATCCAGCAAATTAGGACAAAATTGCACTGGTGCTTAACTAGGCGAGCAAATGCCTTCACTAGCTTCAAGGAAACACAATTACTTCCCCTCAGACTTGTTTGGTTAGAGACCAGGGAAATGAAGCCATTACTGAAGAGAGACTATCTGTGACTGGTGAAGCTGATAGGCTGCAGAAAAGAAGACTTTTAAAGAACTTGTTTCAAATTAGGTCCCACGCAATCTCCTGCAAGCCAGCCTCTTGTATCTAGTGACTCTAAGTGATTTTCCAGTGTGTGGACTCCTGTGTGCGCCTGCTGCCTATGGTCTCAGAAGACCTCATCTGGCCCACATCTGGAAATGCAGATGACACTCTTAAACAGGCCTACTTTCCAAGACCAGGTCATTTCAAATATTCTCGGAGGATGTTTTTATTTTTGTCCTTCAATTACAGGAGTGGTTAAAAGTTTACAGTGTTCGATAGATATCTTAAATGGTAAAACCTCATAAAATCAGATAGAGAAAGCATTATAGGCAGGAATAGATAGCTAATGTAATAAATAATTCAAACTATGAGAAAGAATAATTTTGACTGAATATTTGAAACCTTCAACCAATGTAGTTATGAGCAGAAGCTAATGTTATTGTCTGTAATAAAGTCTTGGGATTTGCCTCGAGCTAAAGGGAGAGAGAAAAAAAAATTCATGACCCGCTGGCTACAAATTGATAATAGTCAAGAGTGGGGGAGATTACAGCAAGCATTCCTGAACTTATTTGTGCAAATCAGTAATCAATTTTATTTCAAAGGCCCATCTTCTTACAGATTAAAGTCAGCCAAGTATCTATCTAAAGTTCCCCACATTAGTTATTAGTGATCAATCATCAATTCATTAAGGACTTAAAAATTATAATTATGAGCCAAGTGGCTGTGGCACACGCCTTTAATCCCAGTACTCGGGAGGTAGAGCCAAGTGTATCTGTGTGAGTTCAAGGCTAGCCTGGTCTACACAGCAAGATCCAGGACAGGCACCAAAACTACACAGAGAAACCCTGTCTCGAAAAACCAGAAAAAAATTATAATTATTTGTGAAAATTGAAAAAACATAAAAGTAAAAGCTTTGAGTTAGTATTAAAAATTTAACAGGGTTGGGGAAATGGCTCCATGGGTAAAATGCTTGCTGTGTAGCTATCAGGACCTGAGTTCAGATCCCGAGCAACCAAGTAAAAGGCAGGCATAAAAGCATGCATCTGCAGCCACAGCACAGAGGGCAGGGATGTGGAGACAGGGAAGTCCTCATTGCTCGCTGGCCAGACTAGCCCAAATGGCGAGCTGCAGGTTCAATGAAAGACCTTGTCTCGTAAGATGGAGATTAACCCCTGACTCCATATATGCATGCATGCATACACACATGTACACTTGCATGCATGCAACATACATGAACACCTATCACTTCTCAGAATGATGTATTCTCAGATATCATCATGGATTTCCAAGGCACATAATTACTTTCCCTGCACAATGAAAAATGCCAACATTTACAACCATAGATAAAATATATAAAAACAAGCATGTATAGAATATACAGAACTAGACACAATGGTATCTCCTTGCCAATTTATACCCTAAAATACTTGAAAATAGGTATATGTCTATCAATCCTCCTCCAATAGAAACAGATATAGACATTTACCGGGTATCTTGGTAACATCTCTCAAGAAGGTCATGTATATTTTTCTTCTTTTTCTCTCCATAGTAGCCCAAGTCAAAACCCAAAACATTGTAGCATCTGTTTCAGTAAGTGTGTTCTAAAGTGAAGGTGAAGAGAGACTCCACCTACTTTCCCTCTGTCCTCAAAACACTCTTTGACTAGATCCAGAAACCCTGTTGATACAAAGGCTGATGCATCAGAGGGATTCATAAAAGTCCTAGGAACTTTACACAGGGAGGTGAGAGAGTGAAGGGCACAGCAGTCTCATAGCACACCACACTCCCATACTCTTAGACAGTGCTCAATAAACTTGTGAAGAGACTGGCGAGGAGATGGAGATATGGGCCAAGGTCATAAATTCTAGGGTCATTCCAAAGAATTATATGGTAGAACACAGAAGCTAGCAGAGCTGAGGATCACTTGACATGTGGATTTTTCTTGCTCATTACAGCCCTAATGACCACACTCTGGAGAGCAAGGCTGTTTTCTAGCCTTGGACGTAACAGTATCCCTCATCAAATAGCCTGTATGGCTTGTTGAACATAGAAAGACAGGCCACATGGCCCTTTCTGAGGTTACACTTCCTCCAGTGATTTGAGTGGAAATGGACCAACTCGGCACATATGAAGATAGATCACCTTAATCCTACCAGAGCAAACAAAGCAAGGTTAGGAGATAATCAGAGCTGGAGTTAGGGCGCAATGCAGAGCTAGTGATTAATAGTCACAGAATGTGTGAGATGGCAAACATTTTGGACACAGTATCAATGGTTACAAAACATGTAATTGGTGCCACTAAAGTTATAAAGAAAATAATGAAAGTGGCTGATTTTGTTCTTTTAAAAGAATTGACAGGAAATCTAGGGGGATGTAGCTTATTCCATAGTGGTTATCTTACATGCATGATGCCCTGGGTTTGATTTCCAGCACTGCATAAATAGGGTATATAACAAGTGCCTGAAATCACAGCACTTGGAAAAGTGACAGCTTGACTATAAATTGATAACAGTACCCCCATCAACTATCATGACTAGCTTTGTATATTCCATGTATGCTTATGATTTTTGTAAATGTTTGCATTTTGCACTGGGCAGGATAATTATGTATATTGGAAATCTATGATACCATCTGAGAATATATCAGTTCTGAGAACTGTTTAGGTGTCTGTATGTTGCATATGTATGAGATGGGAAATGTCAATCAGAAGTTCAAGGTCATCCTTGCTAAATATCAAGTTTAAGGTTAGCATGGGCTACAAGAGACCCCATCTCATGAGGAAAAACAAACAATTGGGCAGACAGGAAATAAAACTAAATGAATCATTTTATACTTTTACTATCATTTATCATTAGCTCCCAAGAAGTCTGACAGTCATTTCAGTACAGAATTTACATATAATATTGTCATTTTTAAATTGGGGAATTAGGGGAGAATTTGACTTGTGTTTTCTTTGACTTTGTTGGACCATATTAACCAATCTCTGCCTGCTCATAGGCACTGTGGACTAACACTCTGAGTGATGACTGTCAATCCCAGTGTCCTTTGCCATTCATACGCAGTGTTCACTTGGATCTTGTGACGATTCTTTGTGATGGATATCTGGGTTTCCGAGAGATCTGCTTTTTGTTTTCCAGGTCTGATAGAAGTTTGGATCATCCTGCTGGAGCAGCTAACCGCAGCTGTGTCCAACTGTCCCCGGCAGCACCAGCCACCAACCTTAGATTTACTCTTTGAGCTGTTGAGAGATGTCACCAAAACCCCCGGTAAATGCCCACATCTGTGTCTACTGGGGGAGGGAGTGTTGGACATGTTACTATTTTCAAGAAGGTGTCTCTTGAGATGCTTACCTGTTACCACTGTTTCTTACATTTAATGGAAAGGAGATGCTCAGTGGATATGTGCTGCATGGCTACAGTGAAGTGATAGGTCAGGTATGTCCCTGAAATTTTTACAAAAGATGTGTGGTTTGGTGCTGTTGGACTCCCACATTGATCCATCTGTGCCATGGGTGTCTCCATAAGCCAGATGGCTTTGCCATTTGCCATGATTGCCGCCATCTTCCTTGGCCAGATCTTAGAGCCTGTGCAGCCCCGGGGCTGTCAGGAGAGCTCAATAGATCCATCACTCATGAGCACGTGCCGTACCGAGCAGCCTCTTGTCTTGGTGATTAGAGGTATAGAAGACACATAATGCCTCAGACAGTCCCCTGCGTTGGAAAGAAGAGGCCTTAGAAATGCATCTCTAGATGAGTTTTAAAAACTTAGCATACATATTCTTCCTTCCAAAGTTTCCTCAGTCAAAGAAATTCTTATAGAAATGCAAGGTGTTTTTATTATTTTGGGGGTGCTTTGCCTGCATAAATGTCTGTGTACCATGTGCATGCAGTGCCTGGAGAGGCCAGAGAAGACATTGGATCTCCTGGAACTGGAGTTACAGACACTTGTGAGCTGCCATGTGGGTGGTGGGAATTGAACTCGGGTCCTCTGGGTTCAGTTAAGAGCAGCCAGTGTTCTTAATAGCTGAGCCATCTCTCCAAAAGTGAAATTTTAGTTTTTACTAATAGAACTAGAACCTTAAGGAAACTACTAGTTAATTCCACAGTGAGATGATGTCCCTTCGTTGTTATGAAGATTTGATATTAACACCGTCTAAAACCTGTTGTAAAGTCTGTAGCTAGTCTCATAGTTAAAATAGTTAAAAACATTCCATTGAAGAGCTATACACTTCCACTTCCAAATACATCTCATCAGTAAGTGCCATTTTCAATTTTCATATTAATTACCACATGATACATACGGTGTTTAGTGCTAAAAATATCTATTTGTTGAAGTCTCTTAAATGCTAAAATAAAAATTATGAACACTGAGAAGCAGTTAATAAGTGAGTGACATTTATAAGACATTATTTTAAATGTGGAATCTACTATATGAAATTTTATGTATTCATAAATACATAAATACACATGCATACATATGCATTCAAAAACTACTTTAAGGAAATATGTTAAAGTGGAATATTATCTGTAGGTAAGTTTTGTCTCTCTATATACTATGTAATTTTCATGTTTGTTATCTTTTGTGTCTTTCATTTATTTGGGTTTTTGTTGCTGTATTATTATTATTATTATTATTATTATTATTATTATTGGGTCTTACGTTTAGCCCACATCGGCCTGAAACTTGTAATCTAGCTGTTGTGACCACCAACGTAGAGGCATGTGCCAGGCCACCCTACTTGTGCCTTGATTTTAAAATCAAAAAATGTTTTTAAATCCACTCATGTTTTTTAAAGAAGCACAAAGATTTTCATTGTCTACAGAATTTTTAAAATAATCACATCTTAAATGCCCATCAATACTGAAAGAGATAAATTATACCTGTATGTAATGGAAATAGTATATGTCAGTGAAAATAAGGATTGTTTACAATATAATCTTTGTTCTTCATATTTGTCAACAAGTAGTCTTTGGAGCTGTCAGCCAGTGTGGTGAGAAATGCTTGCATAGGAAAACACTTAAGTTCGGGAGTTCAAGACCTATCTGGGCAACACAATGAGACCCAGACTGTTAATAAACAAAACTGTGTTCCATATAAATACATATGTAATATATTCTGACCTTCTTTCCTCTGTGCATGTATGTATTTATGTGTTTGAATCTGGGGACTAAGAGATCAAGCGACATTTTAGCTTGGTAATATTTGAATTTTTATGTGTATTCATATACCTACAGAGCTAAAATTATAAAAAGAAAGATTGCCCCCATTATTACCCCTAGGAAGTTGTCGATTCTTCTCACACTTTCTTGGAGACTGGGTAGATCTTTTGGAAAAGGTATTTGATACCAGCCATGACAAGAACCGCCTCCTCCCCATGAAATCACAATGCTGCCCCTTCCCTCTCTTTATCAGGCCCAGGGTTTGGAATCTATGCGGTCGTTCACCTTCTTCTTCCTGTGATGTCCCTGTGGCTCCGTCGTAGCCACAAGGATCACTCCTACTGGGATGTGGCATCTGCTAACTTCAAGCATGCCATCGGTCTGTCCTGCGAGCTGGTGGTGGAGCACATTCAAAGCTTCCTACACTCAGGTAGCTACAGCACCAGAGCCAGCCCTTGGGGGGGCTTTGCCTCCAAGTGCTTAGTGAATGACTGATGCAAAGGCCTTTGTCCAGGGAATAAATGAAGTAGAAACACGTGGTTAGTGCCAGGAATCTAATAGCACATACCATTGGATAGGCTGATACCCATAAATTCTATAAAATTATCAAACAGAATGCTCTATGCTTGCTGCTGAAGATACAATACCTAGTAGTAGGTCTAGCATTGCAATGTATAAGGAGAGGGAAATCCTATTCAAATACATAACTTTGTAAAATGTCCATAGTCAAAGTATGCAGAAGTGGGATGTCTTGTGTTCTTCTTTATCTAGAGAGGGTGAGTAAAAGAAATAGAATTTAGGAAAGGCTCCAGTTGCCAGGAAGAACAGACAGGGATTATGAGAAGTTTCTTAATGCCTGTGGCACTTTGAAAAAAAAAATGCTAGGGGAGAGTTATATTGAAAGTAGCAGATAGAAAGGGACAGATAGGCAGGACAGCAGCCCAGGCACCTGAGCGGGGACCTCTGTGAAAGTGGGATTCTTGCTCATGCGCTGCTTTGGAGGGTTTAGGAGGAAGAAAAAGCAATGCTTCTAAACAAAGTGTCAAGAGGCCTCCTTGTTAGAAAAGACAGAAGAAGCCAAGCAGGGTGTTGGCCCCAAGGAGTCTAGAGCAAGAATAAGAAGTGAGGACAAACTGTCCTCAAAATAAGAATGCTGATGGAGGAGGGTTTTCCACAGTTGGAGGAGGGGGATCTACAGCTGGTGGAGGAGGGAGGGATTTGAACATGTAGGTTGGGAGTGTGTCTTAAGAGATGGATGTTGATGTTCTTGAGCAGGCTGTTGCTTTGCACGGGGGTGGGGGTTGGGGGGGTGCCTGGACAGTACCACTGAAAACCGCTTCTGTGGCATCACAAGGACCCTAGGAAGAACATGTAGATGCTTTCCTTGGGGTGGCAAATAGACTGGTTTGGGGTTATCTCTTTCCTTCAGTCTGCACATGATGTGTAGATGGAAGCCAGATTGACAAAGTTCAGAAGTCACCAAACTGAGAAGAGATAGTTTTGTTTTCCAAGAGCACTTACATGTAATTCAGTTTTCAGCACCAAGGAAAGCATATTAAAATTTTCCTTTTTAGACATATTTTTTTCAGCAATTCACTTTCAGGCCATATGTTATATTCTGTCTTGTTTGAGTAGATTGATTATATGCTGAACTTTGATCAATACACACCAAAAAAAAGCAAACCATATACTTCATCTTGCTGTATCTATAAATGGGATGAAACATGCCAAAATTGGGTAAAAAAAAACTCCACGAAAAACATTGCTTTGCTGTCTTTTGTTTGTTTTGAGGGGGTATAAGGGAAGGTATGCTATTTTTATTTTCTTTTTCCCAAATATATATCTTTTCATCTTAGACATTCTTCTTTTGCTAGAGATGGCCATTTCATTCTCTCTCTATACACCAGAGTCCTAACTTTATTACTTCTTCCTGTAGACATCAGGTATGAGAGCATGATCAACACCATGCTGAAGGATCTCTTTGAGCTACTGGTGGCATGTGTGGCCAAGCCCACAGAAACCATCTCCAGAGTTGGCTGTTCCTGCATTAGGTGAGAAAAAAAGGTCCCTTGGCTCTCCACAGGGGCGGAATTTTATTATGGGACCCAAAGGCATTATCTTTTATGGTAGTAACTCACTTTCTTATTGCTTTTTATAAACCATTTATAATTAATGGTCCTCTTTTGGTGTTCAGTCTGCAAGCACTTGGTGTAGATGGTGGGTAGAGAAAGTGGAGGAAGAGAAAATGACAGATGATTTCCTTGGAGGCAAAGGACAGAAGTGATGGTAGAGCATGCTGGGTGGAACCTGAGACTTGGTGCCCACTGCCAGCCCCCAGGTAGTTTGCCTCCATCTGTCCCTGGGTCCTATGGACCCTGTTGGGGGGTTCTCTCAGGTCTTAGGATCTTGTTCTCGTGCCCTACTTCTACTCCTAACAAGCCCCAAATGGGGCGCAAAGTACTGTCCCTATGTATGATGAGGACATAAATCCTTCTCCTGAGAATGTTACTAGATAGATACCTAGGCCCTCCCATCCCATTAGTGTAGGAGACTGAGAGTGATGATATAACCACCAGGTACACACTTGTAGTCCCAGCACTCAGAAGGTAGAGCAAAGAAGGTAAACCACCTTAAGTTACACAGCAAGGCCATGTCTCAAAGAAAAATAATAACGGCAGAGAGAGGATCACTGAAAAGTGATAACATTTACCCCCACAGAGGGGTAATGAGAGATACCCAGAAAGGATGAGAGTGTGGGGTTCAGGATGGTAATAATGGTGACACCCGGTTCCTACTCCAAAGTGATTGTCTTCCTTATGTTTCTATTGTTACAATGAAAAGACCTGTGATGAAGGCAACTTATAAAAGAGCAATGACTTGGGCTTACAGTTCCAAAGGGTTGGTGTCCGTGATGAGGGAGCAGGGGCATGTCAGGAGAATAGCCGAGAGCTCACATCTCAAACTGATAGCAAAAAGCCGAAGGTACACTACACTGAAGGGTGGGGAAAGGCTTTTGAAACCTCAAAGCCCACCCCCAGTGACACACATCCTCCAACAAGGCCACACCTCTTAATCCTTCCCAAACAGCCACTCACTGGAGACTCTGTATTCAAAGCTAGCGACTTTCTGGGAACATGCCATTTAAACCACAATGGTAAGTCTTCACTAGGTGATAACATTCCAGCTGGGAAAACAAGACGACAGACACCAGGAGATGATAAGGGCCAGTAAGAGTTGGGGTCTTGTTTTATGCAGTTAGGGTTTATATAGGAGTGGTAATAAATGGGTCCGGGATGGGAAGATGAATGAATGGTATATAGCCCCGCATACAAGCCTAGAGTTAAACGTTGGTCTGTTTGCAATGGAAACCCATTGATGTTTCTACATTAAAATAGTTGAGATAGTAGTATCTTGGCAGTGGACTAGCAGAATGGCGGAAGGTGGGAGTGAGGAGACGGGGAGGCTTTCAGAGCAACCACAGGATAAACCTGTGCTCCACTCAGCATTGAGGACAGCAGAATTTCTGGACTCAGGACATGCCTTTTGGCAGGTATGTCCTTGTGACCGCGGGTCCTGTGTTCACTGAGGAAATGTGGCGACTTGCGTGCTGTGCCCTGCAGGATGCGTTCTCTGCCACGCTCAAACCAGTCAAGGTAAGATGCCCCCGGAAGGGACACAGAGTTGTTTCTTTCTTAGCCCCCCCCCCCATGCTTGGTCAGACTGGGCACCTGAGTTCTGCCTGCCTCCTCACATGAGGCAGCTGCACAGTAGCAGAACATGAGGAAAAAGAAAGAATCTGGGTTGGTTCTTTTTTTATCAGTATCCGATTCGAGATTGGGCCTGGCCCTGTGAACCCAGACAAACCCCATGAATGCCTGCTGTTCCTCCCTAGGACCTGCTAGGCTGCTTCCACAGTGCCACGGAGGGCTTCAGTGGCGAAGGCTGCCAGGTACGGGTAGCAGCCCCATCCTCCTCCCCGAGTGCTGAGGCAGAGTACTGGCGCATCCGGGCCATGGCCCAGCAGGTAAGAGTTGAACTGTGCATCTTGGGACTTCAGAAGCTTGAGATGCATGCTCAGAGTCATCCCAAATGTCCTGCATCCCCAGGCCACCTCTCACTTAAAGACATACACATTAAGGCTCTAAGCTCTTGCCAGTACCATTTTTTTTCTGATAGATGTTTGGTTTTTTTTTTTTTTTTTTTTTTTTTTTTGGTCACCTCTGCCCAAGCCACATCAGGAGTCCCCATAGGAGAGTGGTCCGGAAAGGAACTGAGAATCTTAGCTTTATCTGTTTGAGACATCGCCCTGGCTGGCCTGGAACTCACTATGTAGGCCAGGCTAGGCTCGAACTCACAGAGATCTGCCTGCCTCTGTTTCCGGAGAGCTGGGATTAAAGGTGTACTTCACCATGGTTAGTTGAGTCTCCACTTCTTATTCCTGCCTTGACTTTTATATCCAAAGATAAGGGGATGTAGCAAAGTGATAGAATGCTTGCCTAGCATGTGCAAGCCCCTCCAGAACTGATAAATATATACATATCTTATATATGTATATATTTATTAAAATACATATACACATGTGTATGTATGTCAGTTCTGTATAATATATACATACATATACACACACATATATATGAGCCTTTACACACATAGCTTGTATCCTGGTTAGTTTTTGGCACAGCTAGGGTCATCTGGGAAGAGGAAACCGCAATTGAAAACATGTCTCCATCAGACTGGCATGTAATCAAGTCTGTCATGATTGATGTGGAGCCACCCCTGGGCTGGCAGTCCTGGGTCTATAAGAAAGCAGGCTGAGCAAGCAATCAGACAAAGTCAGTAAGCAGCAATCCTCCATGGCCTCTGCTTCAGTTTTGGCCGCCAGGTTCCTGCTTGAGTTCCAACCCTGACTTCCCTCCATGGTGGACTAGGATCTAAAAGTTGTAAGATGAAATTAACTCCTTCCTCCGCAAGTTGCTTTTGGTCATTGTGTGTATCACACTAATCGAAAGCTAACTAATACCAACTCCCTCGTATTAGTGTCAGTATTTGAAGTGTGATGAATTGACACGTGGTAGAAGTAGTAGTGTTATTAGTGTTGGTAGCCAACATGCATTATTTGCTCTGTTATAATGCTCTGCCTATGTAATATACATGCATCAATTTATTTCATCAGCTGTATCAGATGGAAGCCATCGCCATCCCACTTTATAAGTAAAGACATGGGTAGAGAATAAACTACTTACCCAGGGCCACGAGCAAACTGTCCGTGGAGTTGGCGACGTGGGCTTCTGAGCTGTCCCTCTGTATCCTCCTCCAGGTATTTATGTTGGACACCCAGTGCTCACCGAAGACTCCAAACAACTTCGATCATGCTCAGTCCTGCCAGCTCATCATTGAACTGCCTCCTGATGAGAAACCCAATGGGCACGCCAAGAAAAGGTAATGCCGCTGTAAACACAGAGAAAGCTCACAAGCAAGGAAGCGCATCCAGCCCCACTTCTGACTCTTTCTAATCCAAGCTTTAGCTATCGACACTAGCAGCATTGTGGACTTACCTAGCAAAGGTTTTCATAAAAATGCTAAGCCTTTTAACCACATTTCACACATACAATGTATACTGTTTAATCTGCCATAAGGAACCACCCACAGGCTAGGTGACTGGCAGCCCAGAAGTATGTTTTGAAGGCTAAGAGTCAGAGGTCAAGGTGTGGGTGGGACTTCTTCTTTAGGCTTGTAGATGGTTGTCTTCTGAGTCCACATGTGGTGACTCCTCTATGTTTCTGTTCAGATTTCCTCTAGCAAAGGATGTGTCTATACTGGATTAAGATCCACCCAAATGACCTCATTTTTACTTAATTACCTCCTTAAAGCCCCTTCCTGTAAATATGATCTGTTCTAACTAGGGATTAGGAGTTCACTATATGCATTAGGACAGGATACAACCCAGTTCATGAAACCGTAGGTGTAATAAACTTTTATTTAAAGGGTTAATTAAATTTTTAAACAAAAGGTAGGGCAGTCAGTTGTGCCAAGGAATCTAAGGCCAGCTGGGCATCATAACAAGACTTTAAAATACAGTAACTACCAAATTTCAGATTGGCACAGGTCAGATCATTTCAATGAATAATACATACAACTATGCTGTCAAGAGGCCAAAAGATCCATATCTTACCAAAGGAGGAAAAAAGTTTCTCTTTTTAAATACTATCATTCTGCCTCAAAATCCTCAGTCCTGGATACAAAGCTACCTGGCTTTGCTTTGGCATATTAATAGTAACAGTTGCTTATTTAACATTGCGTAGAGGTATGGCAGATAGCATCCCACTTGCACTTTAACCCATGAGGACAAGAAGAGCCAAGTTACATATCCAACAATATACAACCACTAAGTGAGAAGGCCAGAAGCCAAACAAGGTCTGGTGGAGCACAGACCTCTGCCCTTCACCACTTTGGGGAGCAAGTTGGTGCAATGGCCTTGGCTTGGCATTCCTCCAAACTTGTGTTTTAATCCTAACTCCCCAGGTTACGTGTAGAAGGTAAGGCCTTTGGCAAATCATGAGGTTTGAGCCCTTCATGAGTGGGATTAATTCCATTGAGAGAAACAGAAGTACTCCCATGTCACCAGAGTCCAGCCATACCGATACTTTACTCTCAGACGTCCAAGCAATGTGAAATCAACCTCTTTGATTATAAGACAGCCCAGTCTGTGCGATTTCACTATAGCAACCTGAACAAAGGCAGTTGTTATCATTGCACAGGCTCTGGGTGAATTTGTGTCACAGCTTGTTAATTAATATAGCCATCTGAATACCGTAACCATTCAGGCGACATTTCCATGGAATATTTTAGCTAGCATTTAGTGTACACAAAAGAATACATGGAGTGTGTATGTGTGTGTGTGTGTGTGTGTGTGTGTGTGTGTGTGTGTGAATGAAATGTGGAAAATAATATATTCATCAGCCTGTCACTCAAAAGAGAACTTTAACAGTATCCCATGTTCTTTTCCCCCAATTCTAGCTCCTGCTTCCCCTAACACCAGTTTTTAGTGGAGGTCATTACTGTCCACTTTACAGGTTAAAGATAATGAAAACAGATACTGCCTTCCTTTTGAGGACAGTACTACTAAGCACAGATACCAGAATCTGAGCCGGTCTGTAAAGGGTTTACCTTCTTAGTTTGGTCCTAAAGTTGTAGACTTGAAGCACTTAGACCAGATTGGTAGTGTTCTAGTCTCCTTCCTGTTTCTGTGATAAAAACACTCTGACCAAAAGTAACCAGAAGAAGAAAGGGTTTGTTCCTTCGGCTCATACTTCCAGATCCTAGTCCGTCACTGAAGGACGTCAGAGCAGGAACTTCAATCACAGGCCATAAATTGTTGGCTCTCCCAGGCTCGTGCTGAACTTTCTTTTACCCAAGACTACCTGCCGAGGAAATAATGGTGCTGCCCACAGTGAGCTGGAGGCTCCTATAACAACAAAGGGGGTCCATACAAACCCTCACAGACATAGCCATAGACCAATCTGATAAGGACAAATACTCAGTTGAAACTTTTTATCAGATAAGTCTAGACATTTGTCAAGGTGGCTGCTAATGCTAACAAGGACACATAGAACCTTCTGCAGAGCTTCCCTAAGACTGAGTAACTTATCAAAACACTATTTAAATAGGAACCTGGAGGAGGGTGAGTTCTTTAACGTACAGAGTTTCTGCCGGAGATGATGGCAGGTTTTTAGAGGAGAGTGATGTTTATACCAGCATAGTGACTACATTTAGCACCACTGAATTGTATCACTAAAAGACAACATTGTGACTATGTGTGCAATGTATGGATACATTGCAGAAGTCATTTCAGCTGTCTGACAGGGTTACTGTCACAGGGGTGACAGTCTTTTATTGTTCATTTCATCCTTAATGAGAGTCATGGTTTTCCCTCCGTGACAACCATATGAAGTGAAAAGTCGGTATTGAGATTAATGGACAATGATAGTTTTTGCTAAGGAGAGAAATAATTTTAAAATTCGAGTTCATAGTAAGGCAGACTAAAGCAAGAAAATACCAACAAGATGGTCCTGAGTCTTGGCTCAGTGGTCCATGTCTATAGTACCAGCATTTAGGAAGCAGGAGATCAGGAGTTAAGGCCATCCATCCTCATCTGCATAGCAAGTTTGAGGCCAGCCCATCTTTTAAATTAAAAAAAAAAAAAAAAAAAGCCGGGCAGTGGTGGCACACGCCTTTAATCCCAGCACTTGGGAGGCAGAGGCAGGCGGATCTCTGTGAGTTCAAGGCCAGCCTGG